AATAAAGAGTTATGTATTTATTTGAAAATCAGAGCTACAAAAAGACAACCATCTGCTGGTTCGCTCCCAAAATGACCACAACAGCTGGGGCTGGGCCAGGGCAAAGCCAAGAGCCAAGAGCTTCATCCAAGTCTCCCATATGGGTAGCAGGGGCCCAAACACTTGGGTCATTTTCTGCTGCCTTTCCCAGGCCATTAGCAGGGAGCTGTATCAGAAGTAGAGCATCGAGGACATAAGCCGACACCCAGTGGGATGGCAGCAGCTTTACCTGCTACACCACAATGCTGGCCCCAGAGTTTATATATATATATTTTTTTTTTTAATTTTTTAATTTTAGAAGTAGAGTTACAGACAGTGACAGGGAGAGACAGAGAAAAAGGTCTTCCATTCACTGGTTCACTGCCCAGATGGCTCCAATGGCAGAAGCTGAGCCAATCTGAAGCCAGGAGCCAGGAGCCTCTTCTGGGTCTCCCATATGGGTGCAGGGGCCCAAGGACTTGGGCCATCTTCCCCTGATTTCCCAGGCTGTAGCAGAGAGCTGGATTGGAAGAGGAACAGCTGAGACTAGAACTGGCACCCATGTGGGATGCCAGCACAGCAGGCAGAGGATTAACCTACTGCACCACAGCGCCGGCCCCAGAATATATTTGTATAGCTCTTTTTCTATGTGGGAAAAAATGCAAATCTAGAGGAAGAATATGAGAGGACTTTGTATTATATTAACTGAATCATTTTCAGTATGTAAGTGTGTATAGTTCATTGACTTCTGTGTTTGTTCAGAGGTCTTTCCACATTCATACATACAGCTCTACGTCATTCTTTAAAAATGTGTGTAACTTTTACCTTGCTGATGGATATTTAGATTATCTCCACAGTTGTTCACTCTTGTAAACTGCGCCATAGTGACCACCCTTAGACCTATAGGAGTATTCTTGTACATTTGTGTAAGACAGCATTCTAAAAGTGAAATGACTGGGTTAATATTAGGTTTTGATTCCTGGCTTTTCCCAGCTGTGTAGCTTTGGGCAAATTAATTGACACTCTTCAAACCTGTAAAATGGAAATAAAATAACTGAGTCTTGTGATGATTAAATGACCCACAGCATGAACAGCTGTCTTTTCCTTTCCTATAAGTTGTCTTTCTAATTAGAGGTGCCTGAAAATCTGCCAAGATAGTATTCCTTGTACTTCATTGATGGAGAGCTGAAAGTTAATTCAATTGCTCGGATGCTTAGTCCACTTTTATCACCCAACAGGATTGCCAAGGATCCAAGATTTGAGCGATTACCATGCGCACACAAAGGAACCTATGCAGATGACTGCCTAGTCCAGAGAGTGACTCAGGTATCATCAGTTGTTCAGTGTTCACTTTTTTCACTCTGAAAAAAAACCAGTAAATTTGTCTACTGAATGTTCATAGTCGGTAAAGCATCTAGGAAAATAAATAGCAAAGAAAATTATATCATATCCCTTCACAAGGAGTATGGGTGTCTTCACCTACTTCAGAAAGTGAATTGAAGATCTATACTAACACAGGCTTAGGAGCAGACATGGGTTTCAGATCTCAGCTCCTACATTTACTGGGTATAAGTACTGATTTTTTATTCCAAAAATATCTATAAAAGGTTACAGTGAGTTAATATGGATATATCAGATTCTGCCTTCCTGTGAATCTGAAGTGAGGTTCCATTTCCATTTACTCCCCATTCAGGAATTTTGTCCCTCTCCATTATGCCTGCCCCCGCACAGAATTTCTCAGTTCTACCCCAGAGTGTGCCAGGGTACACCTGGAATTAGTAGATTTAATACTTCCATCCTGGCCTTCTTGTCAAGCACACTAGAACTTCTTTGACTGATTGCTGTTATGAGAAGCTCCCTCTGCTAAGGAAAATCATCAGGTGACCACACTACCATCCCTTTAGCTGCTTTATCCCTTGGGTGGCCCAATAGTTCCCTTAATTTCCCACAGCACAGCTGACACCATGCTATAACTTAAGACCCAGTGGAAAATTCAGATATGAAGAAGTAGAGTAGAACCCAAAGTAGCTTCAACTGACAGCTAAGTGCTATGGCTTTCAGAGCTGTTAGGTTAAAACTTCAGATCCTGGAAGTCCTGTTCATGCTTCTTGCTGCATGGGGTAACCTTCCTGCACCACCAGCGGGTCTCAGACCCTCACCCAAACCCTGAGATTCAGAAAAACAGTTGTGCCATCCATTCTAATACTGCATTTGCATAGAGTCCCTCAGGTGTTTTCCCACAACTAAGGAATTGTCTGCCTCATGTGGCTAAGTCCCTTCCACTTGTGAGACAGAAAAAAGTTCACAGCTTATAAGTGGTTTTCTACCGTCTAAGATTCTTAGGAGCTCCATTTAGCCCAGGCAATTTGTTATATCTTTTATAAATATGAATTAGATCATGATAACTCACTTTGCTGTTGAAAGTGAAAATGAATGATTGTTCAGACTAGTCAGTGGTTACACAATTTCCCACTGATCATTAAGCATGCTCAGTGAACTCTATGTGAATATCAATCAATGGGTGTGTCTTTCAGCACAAGTGTTACATTGTGGCCACAGTTGACCGGGACCTAAAACGAAGAATCCGGAAGATTCCTGGAGTTCCTATCATGTATATTTCTAACCACAGGTGAGGAATTTCTATTGGGCAAGTGATTAGAAGTATATATATCAATTAAAAATGAGATCAGCTGGCACCGCAGCTCACTAGGCTAATCCTCCGCCTTGTGGCGCCGGCACACCAGATTCTAGTCCCGGTCAGGGCGCCGGATTCTGTCCCGGTTGCCCCTCTTCCAGGCCAGCTCTCTGCTGTGGCCAGGGAGTGCAGTGGAGGATGGCCCAGGTGCTTGGGCCCTGCACCCGCATGGGAGACCAGGAGATGCACCTGGCTTCTGGCTTTGGATCAGCACGATGCGCCGGCCGCGGCGGCCATTGGAGGGTGAACCAATGGCAAAAGGAAGACCTTTCTCTCTCTCTCTCTCTCTCACTGTC